CTTTGAAGAAAGAAAAAAAGAAGCTTCTTGATTTATTTGTTTTTTTAAGTCTTGTTTATAACTAATTTAGTTCATTTAATAAATAAACATTCAATTTTATATTCTTTATATTTTATTTTTTCATAAAAATTGTTTGAAAACCTATGAATATTTAGGCCTACATAAAAATAAATCTCGATTTTCTACAAAAAAACTAGAGTTATATTTTAATTCGGCATACATAAATACCTAAAAAAAAACAATATTACTTAAAAGGGAATTTTAAAGTTATATTTCGCAGGCCTGTGAATTGATGAAAATCAACAAGAAGTAAGGAAATTAATAGAAAGGAAATTATTTTACAAATTTTGTGAAATTACTAAAATCGGAAAGTATTGCAACTTCAAAAATACATTTTTGTCTTAATTTTTCGTTACAAAAATACTTATACTATGTTAGAATTATCAATGCAGGCATCTGATTCCAACCAAAAAGAGATGAATTACCTCATAAACTTAAGTTAACTCTTGTTAGGAAAGTAATTTTTAGCAAAATTTATTAACAATGAAAAAGTTATAATGTGTCCATATAACTGACAAATTCTGAAAAATTTAGAACTTTCACACTTGTCAAAGTGAGGTAATTTTAAAAACTTTCAAGTAAAAATATTTAAATAATACCAATAATAATAACCGAAAATAATGTTTTAATAAAATATAATTCTTACACTTACATTCCGTCTCCATTCCTTGAAAATAACAAATACAAATTATACTGGGATCGCACAATACTTACAGACTTAAACATTACAGCTAACAGACCAGACATCATACTTATCAAAAAACACACGAACGAAGCCATTCTCATTGACATTGCTATTCCTAACACAAACAACATTATTCAAACATACGACACCAAGATTTCAAAATATCTACAATTATCGATAGAAATGAAATCCATGTTGAATCTTAAAAAAATTTCAATTCTACCCCTAGTTATCTCTAATGTAGGTGTAGTTCCAAATAGCTTAGTTGAGAATTTAAAGTCTTTGCATTTGAATGATTCAATAATTGTCAAAATTCAAAAAGCTGTTTTGTTAGGAACATGTCATATTGTTCGTAAGTTTCTTGAACAGTCTGATCATGTCAGTCAGATTAGATTAGCACCAGTAGGTCAGAGTAGTGTAGGTCACTTTTCATGTGATGCGCGGATAAATGGTCGGTAGTTACGCTGGACTTTTGGGGATGGGGTGAGATTAGAGAATAATAGCAGACTAATTTGTATGCTGTAATTCTAGAATCTCGAAAGTTGTTCTGTTAATCTAATCAATGCATATCATTACTTGGTCTTAGTACCCGTAATGATAGAAGTCTTGCCTGAATGCCGGTCATTTCCGGGTCAGTGGTGGGTCTTAAAAAACGTAATGAAACTAACGTAAAATCACACAATATTGTTCATAACATTAATTTTTACGTACCAACATTTTGTAAATTAATTTTAATTTCCAGGCATCCATTTCTCTGACAAACAAAAACAACAGTTGCCGACGTAATACAAACTAACGTAGTCACTCTTCAAAAAAATTTAATTCTTCAACCTTTAAAAGTCTTACAACAAATACTCTCGAGCCAAATAAAAAAGTAACTTGGGAGTTAACCACGGCAATAATTACAGAGATAATTATCGTGTACGACTTTTACTAATTAATCAGCTTACTTACTTTCTCCGAAATTATTAGTACAGAGGATACAATTACCCTCCAAAATAATACGGTTCAGTTTTACTTCGGGCGCACTAATTGATAGGTTTAACGAAAAATAAATAGTACTTACCTAAAAATTACGGTCATCTTAAACGGTAGAATGTATATAATTAGACGGTTTATAAAAACCTTTTAATACCAGTGTTTTATTTTCACCCTGAGAAAATTCTATAAAGAGATAAAAATCATCACGACGAACATTTTTCGTCTGAGCTCCGACTAGAAAAGATCGAAATTTACCATGTGATTATTGTTGATATTGCTACTACAGTATCACAAATTACAAGCTTTTAAGCACAGTCCACCCTCCACTATGGAAAAATACAAGTGGCAATCAAAAATTAAAATGAACATAACTCTGCTACGAATCATGGGTCTGTGGCCCAAAGGTGACAAAACTTACGAACCCGGATTCTACATGGTATATTGTTCAATCACAGTATCACTTTTCATCTTCGGACACCTATTCTTTCAAGTGGTAAATGTCTATTTCATTGCTCACGATTTGAAGTCAATAGTGGCAACTTCTTACGTCTTGCTTATTGAAATTATGGGAGGAGTGAAAGCGTATTATTTAATCAAAAATATGAAAATACTCAAAGAAATAATGATCATTTTTAAGAGCGACTGGTTTCAGCCAAGGAACACTCAGCAGCGAAATCTCATCGAGCCCACCATTTACCTTTGGACGACGGTTTATATAGTGTTTTTGAGCATGTGTTTTGGATGTAACACCTTCTGGGCGATTTATCCTATGATGGATAAATTCGAAGAGAAGAGATTACCGTTTCTGGGGTGGTACCCATACGATTATAAAAAGTCGCCGTATTATGAAATCACTTACATATATCAAGTGATAGGCATTTGCTATCTGTCTACAGTTCATGTGAATGTCGACAAACTGATATCTGCATTCAATGTGTATACTTCTTGTCAGTTCGACATGTTGACAGACAACATTAGGAATCTGGCAAATGTAGATCAGACATCTAGTAATGATGTGTATGACAACATGTTAAGGTGTGTAGAACACCATAAAAATATCTTAAGGTGAGTGAGTTTAACAATGGTTTGATGGTAGTTTTATCTGTATTTTCAGGTTTATTGAAAGCTCGACGAAATTTTTCAACTGGATTTTATTTTGGCACCTTTTGTTTAGTGGTGTCTCCATTGGGATAACTATGTTTCAGCTAACAGCGGTAAATTTGTGCTTATTTGTGAATGTTTCTCAAGGTGTTAATTACAGGTTGTCCCTCTCTCCAACGAATTTTACTCTCTCCTTTCGTATGGTTTTGCTATAACTATTCAGATATTTATGCATTGTTGGTCTGGAAACGAGGTACAAGCCAAGGTAATCCTGTAGATATTTATACGCGTAAATATTAATAATTTTATTTCAGAGCAGTAATCTTTCATATGCTGTATTCGAATCCGACTGGACTGATCTACCTGAAGATATTAAAAAGAAGTTGCTTTTTTCACCATGCATTTAAAACCTGTTCAAATATCTGCGTTGAATTTGTTTTATCTTTCATTGGATACATACATGAGGGTAATTATAATTAATAGCGAATTATTTCTTCAAATTATACATTTTTTTTTTGTAGATTCTGAAAACTGCTTGGTCATATTTTGCTCTTTTGTATCAAGTGTCGTCGCAAAGTTAAACAAATAAAGCATACAGTGTTTTAGAATACACTAAAGAAGTTCACTTAGATCTATGATTTAAAATTCTGAATTATATGTCTAGTATGGCTGGGTAACACACAAAAGTCCACTACTAACAGTGCTATAATCAAGAAAAAAAAATTCGTGTCTGACATGTTACCATGTTATAATTTGGAACACATGGAAAAATTATTAGAAAATATTCCAAATTCCTTGTATAAGATAATTAAATTTTCACATTACTGTTATTTTTATTTTTATCCTTGATTGATATGTCTTCCAAATTCTATTTTAGTTACTTAATCAAATCATTTTTAACTTCCGTAAGGAGTTAAGTTAAATTAGTGCTATTCTTGAAAACGACACCCTCTAGATTTATGAATTATAAAGTTTTACTTTAGAATATTTTCTACGAAAAATTCGAATTTCACACCTAACTTTTCGAAAATATTGCTCAGCGGCCATAAACACGCTATATTTATGGAATCAGCACGTCGAGATCTACATCCCAGAATTTTTTTATAATTTTTAGACAAGTTTTTTAAAAAAGAAATTTTATAATATGCATACCCCCCCTATGCAAATTTTGATCCATTGTCGACCATTTTCGAAAGTTCATCAAATACATTTTCTTGTAGATTTCGGGCTGCAGAAGTCACTACCGACCCCATTTCTTCGATCGGTCTAACCGTTTTTTAAAAATAACCCATTGAAATATGGCACATTTATGAAATTTCAAAAAATCGACTTTTACACCGAATAATTCCAAAATGTTGCTCCGTGATCATAAACACATACATCCCAGATTTTTTTGAGATTTTTTGGACAACTTTTATAAAACAGAAATTTCACACTATGTGTTTGGTAATATATCGAAATTAACATATGGTGCTTCTGCATGTTCGCCAAATTAAAGCCATAACTTAAACTTTCTAAACCTTACCATTAGAAAACACTGATAATAATAAAAAAATTTACTTACCACGTTTTTGTAAATTATTTTCCATTTTTCACAAACATGAATTTGTCAGTTTAATCAAAACTTTAATATTGATTCAAACCACAGCAACACAGTCACCAATTAACAAAATGGGATTTTTCATGATTTGGTCCTAATACAAATAAGCCCACGGAAAATAAATGAGTAAGAAGGAAAGTCAATAAAAGAAATAATTACAGGTGTAGGACTCTTAATAATTAATAAGTTCGCTGACTTTCTCCAAAATTATCAGCACAAATAAAATAATTACTCTTTAAATATTTTATGGTTCAGCTTTACGTCAATTTCACTAATTGGTAGGTTTAAAGAAAAATAAATAATACTTCCCAATAAAGTACCATTCTCTTAATCTGCAACAAAATGTATAATTAGACAATTTACAAAAAAAATACGTTATAACTCCCTTGAAGTTTTTATATTTCATTTCCACCCCACGGAAATTTCTGAAGATTGCGGTGTTCAATATAAAGAGGTAAATTCGATCCAAAGGAATTATTGCTAGCAAAGTTTAACCAGTACACACAGATTTTTCACATGGAACACCACAACTGGATATCAAAAATTAAACTATACATATTCCTGTTACGAATAATGGGTCTGTGGCCCGAAAGTAACAAACCTGGAATCTATACGCTATACTCTACGCTTACAATTTCGCTTTACATCATTGGTCACCTATTCTTTCAAGTGGTAAATGTGTATTTTATAGCCCATGATCTGGCGTCTGTAGTTGCCACTTCTTTTCACCTACTCATCGAATTCCTGGCAGCAGTGAAGTCCTACTACATAATGAAAAACATATCAATACTGAAGGACCGAATTATTACTTTCAAGAGCGACTGGTTCCAGCCAAGGAGTCCTCATCAGAGAAAGCTCATCGAACCGACGATTTATTTTTGGCAGATGATTTTTAAAGTATGTGTGTGCATGGCTTATGGATGTAACGCCTTCTGGGCTATTTATCCCTTGATAGAAAAATCAGAAGAAAAACGGTTGCCATTTCTGGCCTGGTACCCATATGACTACAACAAATCTCCATATTATGAAATCACGTACATCTATCAAGTGATTTGTATTGGGTATCTGACCACAATTCATTTGAATGTTGACACGCTAATATATGCATTCTGTGTGTATACCTCTTGTCAGTTTGATATCTTGGCAGATAATATCAGAAATCTAGCAAATGTGGATGATAGTTTCACTGATAGTGTGCACCACAATATGCTAAAGTGTGTAGAACACCATAAAAATAGTCTAAGGTAAATCTCTAATCGTAACAATAAATTGTTGTCAATTTTTTTTTAGTTTTATCGAAGGTTCGACGAAATTTTTTAGTTGGATTTTGTTTTGGCATCTTCTAGTTAGTGGTGTTTCCATTGGAATATCATTGTTTCAACTAACAACGGTTAACTAATTAATTAGTAATATGTTTTACTGGTTTGACCATAGGTTGTCCCTCTGTCCAGCGAATTTTATTCATTGGTTTCGTTTATTAATGCCATAACCCTGCAAATATTTATGTACTGTTGGTTTGGTGCGGAGGTGCAGACTAAGGTAATTTTGAAACGTTTATAAATTGGTATCGATGACATTATTTCAGAGCGAAAATCTTTCGTATGCTGTTTTTGAATCTGACTGGACAGACCTCCTGAAGAGACTAAAAAAAAACTTGCTGTTTTTTGGAATGCATTTGAAGCCTGTTCGAATATCTGCTCTGAATGTGTTTTATCATTCACTGGATACATATATGAGGGTAGATTTTACTAATTTTATTTCAATTAACTGTATGTTTTTTTTTGTAGATTATGAGAACTGCTTGGTCTTATTTTGCCCTTTTGTATCAAGTGTCGTCTCTAGCTTAAGTCAATAAAAAACAGAGTGATTCAGTTATTACTACAGATCCCCTTGTAGTTGCACATTCATATAAAAATGCAAATTCATGTTCTAATTTACTTACTTATTATATCTTTACACTGATTAACTTTCCACAATAAAAGCTATTTCAATCTGTTATTTGAATTTATTTATTATTTGAATTTCGCAGTCAGGACACATTATGTATTTTTTTATTATTCTTTCTTACTATCTACCTGCATTACAAAAGGAACGCCCTGTCGAAATTTTATGTTTATAACTTCAGTAGTTTAGACTCTGCATTGAAGAATCAGTCATTCAGGACAAACACTTTCACATGTATAGATTTTTTTGTTAGATCTAGACTTTGATCAGATATATAATTTTTCAATAAACTTTGTTTTAAACATTTGTTTAGTTTATAAAAATCTGCATACTAATTAAAAAAGTATTCTAAAGAAATAAAAATTACAAACCTGTGTAAACTTCAGTGGCATTTCTCACTCTTAAAAACCAAGAATTTCCACTTCAAATTTACTTACTGATATTTTTCTCTTATTTTGTGCGTGTCTTTATTTATTATATATGGGGTAAGTATTTGTAATTACCGACCACAGCAACTTTGACATTTCAACGTTTTGAATAAATTTTGTTATTGATTAATAAGCTATAAATATCACGTTCTCAACATTATGTATGATCCTAATATATGTTCTGTGAGTTTATTTTATTTCATAAGGATGTAAATTTGTATTAATTTCTACTAAATACCTATGTTATATTTTTGTACCCTATAGCTTTTTTTTTCATTTTCCATGTAGTTGTTGAAAATGTAATTTATAATCCAAAAAGTCGATACAAAAAAATTGTGTAAGGTTATTATGGCGCCTCCACCATTTTTTCACCAAAGTTGAAAATGGTTCAAATTCTCCAGGAAGAGGTGTTATCCGAACCGAAATGTTGTCGGGATCACAAATCTGCCCTTATTTCTCCTGTAGGTTCCCAAGTAATAAAGAAATTAAATCTTATTGTGGCGCATCCACCATTTCTTTATTAAATTTGAAACTTCCTGAAATTGTGCCGGAAAAGGGTCTTTCCAATCTGAATTTTTTTCATTTTTCCTGTGGGATCTCAAATAAGGGAAAAATTTAATTCAATTGTGGCACCTCCACCATTTTTCACCACATTTGAAATTTTCTTCAATCCTCCCGTAAAAAGTTCTATCCGAACCGAAATTTTGTCAAGATCATAGGCCTTATTTTTCTTGTAGGTCGTCAAATAATAGAGAAATTAAATTTTAATCTGGCGCAACCACCATTGTTCCGTCAAATTTGAAAATTGCTCAAAAACTCTCCAGAAAAGTATCTGTCCGAACCGAAATTTTTTCGGGATTGCGAATTTGACTTGATTTTTTCTGTAGGACCTCAAATAAGGGAGAAATTAAATTTTTCTTTGGCGCCTCCACCATTTTTTCATCAAATTTAAAAGTTGCTCAAATTCTCCTGCAATAGTCTCTATCCAAACCGAATTCTTCTCGGGATCACAAATCTGCCTTCATTTTTTCTATAGGTCATCAAATAAGGGAGTAATAAAATTTTAATCTGGCGCCTCCACCATTTCTTCACCAAATTTGAAAGTTTTCAAATTCTCCTGGAAGAGGAACCGAAGTTTTCTCGGAATCACAAATCTGTCGTTATATTTCCAGTAAAGCTCCAAATTAGGGAGAAATTAAATTCTATTGTGGGGCCTCCACCATTTTTTCATCAAGCTTGAAAGCTGCTGAAATTCAACCGGAAAAGGTTTTACCCGAACTGAAATTTTTTCCTGTAGATTCGCAAATAATGGAGATATTAAATTTTATTCTAGCGCCTCCACCATTTATCATCAAAGTTGAGTGTTGCTCAAATTCTCCAGCAAAACAATCTATCCGAACCGAAATTTTCTCGACATCACAAATTTGCCCTTATTTGTTCTCTAGGTCGTCAAAAAAGAGAGAAATTAAATTTTATTTTAGCGACTCCACCATTTTTCCACCAAAGTTGAAAGTTGTTCCAACGGTCCCGGGAAAGGATCTATCCGAATCGAAACTTTCGAGGAATCACAAATTTTCCCTTATTTTGCCAGTAGGTCTCCAAATAAGGAAGAAATTAATTTTTATTGTGGCGCCCCCACCATTTTTGCATCAAACTTGAAAGCTGCTGAAATTCTACCCGAAAAGTTTCTATACGAACTGAAATCTTTTCAGGATCAGGAATCTGCCCCAATTTTTCCGATAGGTTCTCAGATAATGGAGAAATTAAATTTTATTCTAGCGCCTCCACCATTTTTCCACCAAAATTGAAAGTTGTTCCAACGCGCCCGGAAAAGTTTCCATCCGAACCGAAATTTTCCAGGGATCACAAATTTTCCCTTATTTTGCCAGTAGGTCTCCAAATAAGGAAGAAATTAATTTTTATTTTGGCAGCTTCACCATTTTTGCATCAAACTTGAAAGCTGCTGAAATTCTACCGGAAAAGGTTCTATCCGAACTGAAATTTTTTCAGGATCACAAATCTGCCCCAATTTTTCCTATAGGTTCTCAGACAATGGAGAAATTAAATTTCATTCGAGCGTCTCCACCATTTTTCCACCAAAATTGAAAGTTGTTCCAACGGTCCCGGAAAAGATTCTATCCAAACCGAAATTTTCTAGGAATCACAAATTTTCCCTTATTTTGCCAGTAGGTCTCCGAATAAGGAAGAAATTAATCTTTATTGCGGCGCCCCCACCATTTTTGCATCAAACTTGAAAGCTGCTGAAATTCTACCGGAAAAGGTTCTATCCGAACTGAAATTTTTTCAGGATCACGAATCTGCCCTAACTTTTCCTATAGGTTCTCAGATAATGGAGAAATTAAATTTTATTCTAGCGCCTCCACCATTTTTCATCAAAGTTGAGTGTTGCTCAAATTTTCCAGCAAAACAATCTCTCCGTACCGAAATTTTCTCGACATAACAAATCTGCCCTTATTTTTTCTCTAGGTCGTTAAAAAAGGGAGAAATTAAATTTTATTTTAGCGCCTCCACCATTTTCCCACCAAAATTGAAAGTTGTTCCAATAACGGTCCCGGAAAAGGTTCTATCCGAACCGAAATTTTCTAGGGATCACAAATTTTCCCTTATTTTGCCAGTAGGTCTGCAAATAAGGAAGAAATTAATTTTTATTGTGGCGCCCCCACCATTTTTGCATCAAACTTGAAAGCTGCTGAAATTCAACCGGAAAAGGTTCTATCCGAACTGAAGTTTTTTCAGGATCACGAGACTACTCCAATTTTTCCTATAGGTTCTCAGATAATGGAGAAATTAAATTTTATTCTAGCTCCTCCACCATTTTTCATCAAAGTTGAGTGTTGCTCAAATTCTCCAGCAAAACAATCTATCCGTACCGAAATTTTCCCGACATAACAAATATGCCCTTATTTTTTCTCTAGGTCGTCAAAAAAGAGAGAAATTAAATTTTATTTTAGCGCCTCCACCATTTTTCCACCAAAATTGAAAGTTGTTCAACCCTCCCGGAAAAGGTTCTATCCGAACCGAAATTTTCCAGGGATCACAAATTCTCCCTTATTTTGCCAGTAGGTCTCGAAATAAGGAAGAAATTAATTTTTATTGTGGCGCCACCACCATTTTTTCATCAAACTTGAAAGCTGCTGAAATTCTACCGGAAAAGGTTCTATCCGATCTGAAAATTTTTTAGGATCACGAATCTGCCCTAATTTGTCCTATATGTTCTGAAATAATGGAGAAATTAAATTTTATTCTAGCTCCTCCACCATTTTTCATCAAAGTTGAGTGTTGCTCAAATTCTCCAGCAAAACAATCTATCCGTACCGAAATTTTCCCGACATAACAAATATGCCCTTATTTTTTCTCTAGGTCGTCAAAAAAGAGAGAAATTAAATTTTATTTTAGCGCCTCCACCATTTTTCCACCAAAATTGAAAGTTGTTCAACCCTCCCGGAAAAGGTTCTATCCGAACCGAAATTTTCCAGGGATCACAAATTCTCCCTTATTTTGCCAGTAGGTCTCGAAATAAGGAAGAAATTAATTTTTATTGTGGCGCCACCACCATTTTTTCATCAAACTTGAAAGCTGCTGAAATTCTACCGGAAAAGGTTCTATCCGATCTGAAAATTTTTTAGGATCACGAATCTGCTCTAATTTGTCCTATATGTTCTGAAATAATGGAGAAATTAAATTTTATTCTAGCGCCTCCACCATTTTTCATCAAAGTTCAGTGTTGCTCAAATTCTCCAGCAAGACAATCTATCCGTACCGAAATTTTCCACGACATAACAAATCTGCCCTTATCATTTCTCTAGATCGTCAAGAAAGGGAGAAATTAAATTTTATTTTAGCGCCTCCACCATTTTTCCACCAAAATTAAAAGTTGTTCCAACGGTCTCAGAAAAGGTTCTATCCGAACCGAAATTTTCCAAAAATCACAAATTTTCCCTTATTTGCCAGTAGGTCTCAAAATAAGAGAAAAATTCAATTTTAATGTGGCGCCTCCACCATTTTGTCACTAAATTGAAAAGTTAATCAAATTTTCGCGCAAGAGGCTTTATCCAAACCGAATTTTTCTCGGAATCGCGAATCTGTCCTTATCTTTTCTGTAGGTCCTCAATTAAGGGCGAAATAACATTTTATTCTGGCGCCTCCACCATTTTTTCACCAAAATTGAATGTTTCTCAAATTCTCCCGGAAGAGGTTCTACCCGAACCAAAATTCGCTCGGGATCACAAATCTTCCCTTGTTTTCCTGTCAGTCCTCAAATAATGGAGAAATTGAATTTTATTTTGGCGCCTCCACCATTTTTCATGAAATTTGAAATTTTCTCAAATTATTATTATTATTATTATTATTATTATTGATGTCATAGAGCAGAGGCAAGAGCCTATTATGCTCGACTCGAGGAACCCTGTACTGGGAGCTGAAATTCACTACCATCTCTATTAAGGGGGTGCTCG